ATTGAATTCCTCGGTCATTTGGTCTTCAGCGCGCGCGCGCGCGAGTTCTCTCGTTTCGTTTTATCCCGGAAAGGGTTACTCTCGAATGGACGCGCTACGCATTAAGACGCGGAAAAATGCGATTCGTCCGACCGCACTGCTTATGCGACTGCATCTGCCTGCCTGCCTGCCTGCCTGCCTGCGCGCGAAAGAGTTCCTCCTCGCTCGCGCCGTGTGCACGCGCGAGTGCGCGCATACCGCGCATACCGTTTCTTCACCTTGGAGGAATACGCGCGACCACGACACACCGGGTGTCCAAGTTCCTCTCGCGATGTAGTACGAGATTGATCTTTTCGTTGGACGGTGTTACCTGAAATTTTGTCTCGAGGCACTTTCTGAAAATTACTAATCCCAGTGGTGAACGATACCTTGTAGCGAATTCGATTGCTTGCACTAGTGCGCGCTGAGTGCACACTAAGGCTTGTTCATAGTCCATTTTTATATTCAACTTTGTCTCAAATACATGTTCAAAAAGCATTTGAAATGTTCTTTAAGTATTTAAGACAAAGCCAAACAAAATAATCCGTACGGATGCAACACAGATCATTTTACTAAGGCCCGGTTCCACCAAACGTCGCTTAACTTTGATCTTGGTTCAATTCGTGTTTGTCTCTTTCTGAAGTAACAGTTGAAAAGAGACAAAGAACGAATTGAGCTAAGCTTAAAATTCAACAACGGTAGTGAAACCGGAAACCTAAAGACTGCGTCCACGATGCTAGAACTTGGACACAGACCTTAAGAAATATTTCAAGAGGTATTTAAGGCAATCCTTAAATATAAGAATTGACGGTAAACAAGCTTTAATGTGCACTCTGTGCGCACTAGTGCACACGCAACCGAATTCGCTATTAATTACGGAAGTTGCGAGCAGTAATTATTATCAAAATTGTTGCAATTACACGCGCGGGGCTTCAGAATTAAATAACAAGATACTTTTTTTTATTTATCCTCAAAATAGAACGCGTAGGAATCATTTATCCCTTGATAAATGCGCCTCTCGTCTCTTAATTCAAGAAACACGTGCATAATTCAGATTTTGTGTCGTATGCAAATTTATTATGTCGCTCGCCTGAACGCGCGAGGAGTCCAAGTCGGCCGCGATCGTCTTCGGTGAAATTCCCGCCGTGCGACACGGGATCCTCGCGGCGGGAGTTTCTCTAAAATAACAGTAAACGAAAACCGAAAACGCGCGCGCGCGCGCATTCCGAGGCTGTCGCCCGCTAATAGAGCATGACACGTCCGAGAGTAGGCGAGAGATCGCGCGCGCACCTAGACATAATGTATTTCACCGATATGTGGCGCACATCCTGGATCCATTCCTCTCGACGTCCTTAGAAGAAAGCGCGAGATATACGCTGGCGGAGCGCGTCCAATTAGCGGCCGCGCCACGATAATGCACGCCGATATGATAAAAGCGCTCGCTCGCTTCTCGCGGCATAACCGACGTATGTGTACGTGGTATAAGTGGCGTGTCGTTGAAACGAGAGTCCCCGGCCTCTTATCCGAGGCGTCCCGGCGTACCTCGGCTCGGCCTGCTCGCGACAAGTGCGATAAGGAGGAGCAAGGTCGGCGGGCGACCCGAATTTCGCTGTGACACGCCGCAGAAAGAACCGATTTGCGGTCAAATGCATCGAATTTCGGTCGAGGCGAGAGGAGACGAAAGAGCGAGCGGACGCAGGATTCGCGTCACGAGACCGGGTGAGCAGGAAGTGGCATCCGGTCGGCTGGTCGATCGATCGGGTCGGTCGTGTGCATTTCGCCGTCACCGAGGATCGCGCGCGTCATGCCGTGCGACCGTCGATGGTCTTACACGGCCGAATCATCATCCCGCTGTCTCATATCGCCCCGTCGATGCGTCACGAGTTGTGGCTATAACGTATACAGGGTGTCCCAGGAGGAAGGGTCAATATTCTGGGAGGTGATAGTATCGGGCATTTCAAGCAAAAATGTTCATATGAATATACGTCCCATTCCCCACTGTTTCCGAGATAGAGCTACTTGAATGTCTCGTGTATTTACTTTTTTTTCTGTCCACTTCGCCCTTCATCCAACCTCATAAACGTCTGCGGGAATTTACTCTAAAGCTAAGACTCCATAGGTGCGTTGAGCTGCGGCAACGCCGTGCGGACAGATATATGGACTAATCAGAAAACTGCCGCAAGTCGCCTGTGTCAACCTTGCGTTAAAATCAAAATTTCTTGATTTTGCCGCAGCGGCAAGACGGTAACCGCCAAACATAACCCTCATAATCGCTCGTAGGTTATATGTGGATACGGATCTCTTTAATATGGATTCGGATTCTAATCAATCTTCTAATGAGAGTCTGAATGAATTAATCATTCATT